GTGTACTTCGGTCCGTCTGTCTGCCTGTTCTGTTCCCTGCTCTGTCTCTGATGAATCCTCTCGCCCCCCACATCTCTGGCCTGTACCTGAATTCTTGTATAAAAATAAATAAATCTTTGGAAAAAAAAAAAAAGAAATTATCAGATTGTTAAAGGGGTCCGAGAGAAAGAGATGGTGCTTTAGTACTCTTGGATTTACTGATAAGAACAGGGGTAGAAATAACTCTTCCATCCCTAAATCTATCCCTTCCCAATTTTAGTGATAATATATTTGCTGGAGGGAGGGAGAGGAAAAGAACTCCTATTATGGAAGCATATTTGAAAATCCTAAGTCATTCTTATTTCAACTTCTTTTGAAATGGACACAGTTCTAGGAATTCAGAAGATACAATAAATATTTAGTTAAAGAAACCAATAAGGGAAACCATCATCACTTCATTCTAATTTCTGTGATATATTTTATAACAGTAATCAGTTGTCTAAACTTGAGCCAGATTCTGTCTTTCCATACTTCCTGGGGCTAATAAAAAAGATGGTTAAACAGTTTCAAAAAGTTTATATGCAGGTATAGTAAACAGAGGGAGTTAGCACAATTTTTGCTATTTCATTATAAAGCTAGTTGGGTAATCCTAATATTGTAACAATCACAATAATAAACATGAGCACTTATAAGTGTTAGGCTGAGTGATAATAAATGACCATGCAGTCTCTCATTTAATCCTCAACATAGTAACAGTATAAGTAAACTATTATTATTATATTATTATTTAAAGATTTATTTATATATACATGAGCTGGGATGCTGCAGGCCAGAGGTGTTAGGGGTGGGGAGGGTGAAAGGATTCACCAGAGACAGAATGGCGAGCAGAACAGGCAGACTGACTAAAATACACTGCTGAGGGGAGCAGCGGGCAAGACAGGAGAGGTCTGCTGTGCCATGTGGGTCACTTCCCTGACCGGGGATTGAACTTGTGCTGCAGTAGCAGTGGATAGTTTCATAGTACTGAGACTTAACCCCTTGTGTCACCAGAGAGGCCCCTATGAATTTTAAATATACAAGTCAAAATAGGAACCTCAAGTTAGTGACTTTCCATTGAAATATTTCTATTTATTCCCTTGGGAGAGGTACGAGATAAAGGTACAATATTGATGCTGAAGTCCACGTCTTCATTTTGATGAAGCATCTGTAATACAGCAGTTACTGCTTTAACACAAGTATAAAAAAGTATAAACTGCCTAACAAATGTTTCTTGTTTTATAAATAACTGAACACATATTATAAAAGTTTTACCAGAAATAACATTGTTCTATCCTAGTTTTTCTATCATCTTAAGGGGGTGTCTAAAAGTATCTGTCATTGTGTTGGTTTTAGACTTTTAGTTTTTGTGCCTGTACTCTCCACAGAAGGTACAAGAATGGAACCACAGATACAGGACTATTCTTAACATTTTTCGACAGACTCTTCCTTTTTATAAGAACAGGGAAGGTTAGGAAGCTTGCTTATATTAACAAACCACAGGCAACAGTGCAAACAAGGACCCTGGCTTCCTAACACCCAGCTGGATGCACTCCTTAGAGACCACCACTGTCTCTAGGTAGGTGTGTCATAGGTATTAAGTCAACTAAAAGTTGACTTTCTATTCAAAATTCTAGGAAACATGACAAAACTCATTCACCATGAAGAGTTTTACTGAGAAATCTGGATAAAGGTGGCAGTATAAATTCTCAGCAGTTCTCAAGTCTGCTTGCAAAGATAATTGCTGAAAGAAAATCTGTTATCTTAAAGCTATCAATTTTTTCAAGATACAAACTCAAAAGATATATCAAGAATTGGGAGGGAAAATGGGAATAAAGAGGGGTCTCCCTGGTGGCACAAGGGGTTAAGCACAGCACTATGAAGCAATTCGCAGCCTCAGCAGCATGAGTTCAATCCCCGGTGGGCCAGGGAACAACCCACATGGCATAGCAGACCTCTATGTCTCGCCCGCTGCTCCCCTCAGCAGTGTACTTCGGTCAGTCTGCCTGTTCTGTTCCCACGCTGTCTCTGGTGAATCCTCTCACCCTCCCGCACATCTGGCCTGTACTCCGGTTCTTGTGTAAAATAAATAAATAAATCTTTAAAAAATAATAAAATAAAAAATAAAAAAATGGGAACAAAGAGGTCTGATGAGGCCATTTACTCTAAGGTCACCTAAATTAAATAATGATGCCACAGTCACACTAACTAGTGGCCCTGGAGGTCCTCATCTCTAAAGCAAAAAAAAAAAGAAAGAAAGAAAGAAAGAAATAGAAAAAAGAAAAAAATTCTAATTTGTCATCATTATCTGCTACATCAGAAAAAGGATATGTTTGGTTTGATTACTCTCTTACTAAAACCCAAGACTAATCTCACATGGGCCATTAATCTCACACACTACAGACCTAGCAGAGAAGGGAGCAGCGGCAGAGCCAGCACTAGAGCTTGGAGGGAGTACAGCTGGACAGAAAGCAGGAGTCACAATGACATAACATTGCTTATGGGCACTAGCGAAGGTAGAGTGGCAGAGGCAGAAAGAATTTAACTCCTTAGTTCCTCAGATGCTGTTTCCTTTCCCAGAATCATGCTTAGTTAACAATTCAATAAAGGCGTTGAATCAGAAAACAAATTACAGTCACCACTGAGCCATAGTGGTAGATGGAGGATTATTCCTTTCCTCATACATTTAATCTGAGAACACACTAGAACTGTTCGCTTTATATGTGGCAGATTAAAAAGAAAAGACACTGTAATTTAGTCACTAACTTCCAACAAGCTACACAGTCCACAAAATTCAATTTGATATATGAGGCTATTATTTTTATAAGATTTTAAAAAATTAGACATTAACTGAGGACATTTGAAAGCATTTGAAAAGTAGTCAATAAAAATCACATTTATGACTTGAAATAGTGGCTTTCCACCTTCTTTCCTCAGAACCCTTTTACATCTTAAAAGTTCAAGCCCCAAGGAGCTTCTGTTTGTATGATATATCTGTTGACGTTTATCATATTAAGTTATTTACTAATTCATTTATTTTTTTTTAATTTTATTTATTTATTTATTTATATTTTTAAAAAAGGTTTATTTATTTATTTATTTATTTATACATGCACTGTGTACAGTCAGAAGCGCGGGAGGGTGAGAGAATTCACCAGAGCCAGAGCGGGGAGCAGAGCAGACAGAAGGACCGAAGCACACTGCTAAGGGGAGCAGCGGGTGGCAGGAGAGGTCTGCGCGCCATGTGGGACCCTCCTCCGGTGGCCGGGGAGCAGTTGGGAATGCAACCAGCGCTGCAGAGGCTGCGGGCAGCTTCGCAACCCAGCTCTCAACAGCTGCGCCACCGGGGAGGCCTACTAATTCATTTAAAATAATAACCTCATTATTTGTTAACAGAAAAATTTGTTTTTAAGAAAAAACTATATTTTCCAAAACAGACAAAATTAGAGGAATGGAATTGTTTTATAATATCACAGATATAAAATGGTGTCTGATTTAATAGAAGGACTAGAGTCACATATCTACTTTTTATCATTTGTTGCAATTTTGGCTGAAGTATGTGGGGGAAAAATCCAAATCTACAGAGATAAATAGTTGGAAAAGGTAGAAGTACTTTAATAACCAGTTCAGATTAATGTGAAAATGATTAAATGATTCTGCATCAAAACTGGATAAGTGGTAGTTTCATAAAGGTTAGTTGCAATGTGGAATCTGTCAGCATATCAATGAACTTTTCATATTGTACTACATTAAAATCCAACAGACTAGTCTTGCACATTGAATGAATATTTTATAATGATTGATTCTGTAACATCTTGCATTGGTCATTTGGAAAATATTGATTCATTGAGTTATACATATCTTCTAAGTGTTAACACACTTCATTGTATAGTATTTTAAAAATCACATTCATTAATACTAATTGATCTCATCAGAAGTCAATTTTAAGTTTGAGAAAGCTGTCAAGCTCACAATAGCAGACACAAAATTTCCAAAACTGTGATTTTCACTTAGAAAATTCAATGGCAGCAAATATTGTCAGCTGTTTTCCTTGAAGTGACAGGCTCACTTCATTTTCAGGAAAATATCTGCCAAATACTGAAAAATCACAGTCTGCCCTTTCAAGTAAAAATGGTGTTTCATGAGAAAAAAATTGTGGTTAGTTCAGCTCTCAACTAAAACAAGTGTACAGGGCCTCCCCGGTGGCGCAGCGGTTACACGCTGGGCTGCGAAGCTGCCCGCAGCCTCTGCAGCACCGGTTCGATGCCTGGCTGCTGGGCGAGGGTCCCACATGACTTGTAGACCTCTCCTGCAGCGCCTGCTGCTCCCCCAGCAGTGTACTTCGGTCCTTCTGCCTGTTCTGCTCCCTGCTCTGGCTCTGGTGAATTCTCTCACCCTCACGTGCTTCTGACTGTACTTGTATAAATAAATAAATTAATTAAAAAAAAAATAAAATAAATGTACAAGTCCTTTTCCTTCAGATAACATTGTACTTGGGTATGCAGAAGTGCTTAATGTGAGCTTCCCTTTCTGTCACAAAATGCCAAATCAATGTGAAACTCAAGGATTAGGATTTAATAAAAGTAATACTTTTTACACTTTTATCAAGAGCATTCTTAAGTGAAACATGTAGGACTCTCGCCAGCCAGCCGTGATAGAACCGGCGCTGCAGAGGCTGTGGACAGTTTTACAGCACGGCACTCAACAGCCTGTGCCACCAGGGGAGGCCCAGCCACCAGAGTTTTTACCACTGAAGTTTTTGTACCATCATGCAAATGTCAACATAGTAAAAAGTTAACACCTCTGTATTACTATGAAAGTAAATTTGAAATTACGGGTCCCAAAGGCTCTCAAGGAACCCCTAGGGATCCGTGAACCGTATTTTGAGAACTGCTCTAAAATATCTTTCCTTTAGGCAAGGATAGGCCTTGTAATACAAATAACAATAATCCTAAGCAAAACACAAGTCAAAAATATCCTCTTACCTTTGCCAAGACTAAAGACAAACGGCTCGTTTCTATCATGACTGGAATCAAACTTCTTTCCATTTGACAATTTTCCTTTGTAATGGACATAAACCTTATCTCCAATCATTGGTGATTCATCACTATTCCCCACTCTTTTGACAATCTAGGAAAGACAAATATTAGGAAAAAGAAGGTGAAACATTTTACTTCTATTTAGAAAACAAAGTTCACATAATCCATTCCATGTCATTCAGGCAGAGTTGTAAATAATGATCTGTCCTTTTTAAAGGATCCCCTGCTGTTCTCTCAATAATCCGGTTAGAAAACTATTCTTTACTAATCTAAATCTCTAATGTTTTATTGTTGACTACCCTCAAAATAATTAACCAATAGATCCTGCTTCATTGATTTAATGTCCCATGCTTTGGCATTAAAATCTCTAAGTAACAGAGCAACTTCACAAACTAAGACCAGAAAGATTAGTGGACTTTCCAAAATATTCAATAAGAAGTTTAGAACAAAGTTTCAAAGGTGAGATCTTATTTACTTACTTCCTTTGATAAAAACATTAGCTTTTGACCAGATGCCACTAGACTGGTTTAATTTCAAAAAACCCAATTACTTGGTAACAGGTTACATTTCCTATTATTTGAGAATATTCACTGTGTAAAAAAAAAAGCAGTATTACTGCACAGTTTGATATATTGAATAACTTATTTTCTAGTAAAGGAAATGCCAAAAAAGCTCCAAGCTGAAAAGTATTTAGTTATTGTAAAATCCAATATATTTATTTTGTTCTTGGCAGAGCAAGCCACTAACGTTGTTGGTCAGTTCTGGGAAAAGAAAATCAAAGCCAGGCATGCAATGGCATAATTCATTCTGTCAATCATTTATGCCAAAGAAATGATTTTTACTAGATAGCAGAGATGGTAGCTAATTACCAGTGAAGATCTCTTTGGGGGAAAGGTCTGAATTTTTGTCTAAAGAATTCAATTATTTGCTCCTAAATTCTTTGAAATGTGTTCCCTGCCCCACCCTCACATCACCACTGTGAACTGATATTCTACAACTTTCTTAGTTCAAAAGTCCAGACATTCTTTAAAAGGCTCATTACCGCAACTCCAGCCCAAAACTGTTAAAATAAATAAATGACTTCAGTAAAGTTGCAGGATACAAAATCAACGTACAGATATCAGTTGTGTTTCTATATACTAACAAGGACATATCTGAAAGAATTTTAAAAAATCACATTCACAATAGCATCAAAAACAATTAAATACTTAGGAATAAATTCAGCCAAGGAGGTGAAAGATACACACGCTGGAAACTTTAAGGTTTTGATGAAAGAAACTGAAGGAGACATGAATAAGTGGGACGATATCCTGTGTTCATAGGTCAGAAGGATAGTATTGTTTCAACTACCTAAAGCCATCCGTAGATTGAATGCATTTCATATCAAAATTCCAGAGCCATTTTTCATGTAAATAGAAAATGCAATCCTAAAATTTGTATGGTACTACTGTATAAACAGACACACAAGGTCAATGGAACAGAACTGAAAGCCCAATAACATATGCAGTCAAGTAACATTATAAGCAAGCCAAACGTACTCAATGGGGAAAGGAGAGTCTCTTCAATAATGGTGCTGGGAAAACTGGGTAATCACCAGCAAAATGTACTCCAAAAGTTTTAAATACTTAAATGTAAAACCTGAAACTATAAAACTCCTACAAGAAAACAGGAGAAAAAGCTCCTTGGCACTGGTCTTGGCAACAGTATTTTGGATACAACAGCAAAAGCATACATAACAATAACAAAAACAAGAGTAAGAAATGAAATAAAAAAGCTTCTGCACTGCAAAATAAACAACAAAATGAAGAAAAAAAAAACAGCATAAAGAAAGGAAAAAATACTTGCAACCTATATATCAGATAAGGGGTTAATATCCAAAATATACAAGAAATTCATGTAATTCAATTTAAAAAATATATGTTTAAAAATGGGTAGAGGAAGTAAAGAGATATTTTTCGATAGAAGACATATATAGAGGACTATTATGAAAAAGACAAGAATAATAACAAGCATGGATAAGGATATGGAGAAAAGGGAACATTATACACTGCTGGTGGGAAATTGGAACAGCCAGCATATAAAACACTATGACAGTCTTCAAAAATTAGACACAAAAATTGCCAGCAATCCCACTCCTGGTATATATTCAGAGGAAATGAAATCAAAAGGTTTATTATCATTATCATTATGTAGAAGAGATATCTACACTCCCATGTTCATTGCAGCATTATTCACAACAGTCAAGTTCATGATATAAGCTAAGATGTGATATAGTAGTGTGTGTTTACATACTGAAATGTGTATATATATACACACACACACACACACACAATATGATGTGATACATAATATTTATGTTATATATAGAGATACACACACACAAAGGATCAAGACAGAAGGAAACCATGCCATTTGTGACATGGATGTTATGTTGCTAAGGGCACTGTGCTAAGTAAAACAGGCCAGACAGAGAAGACAAATACTGTATGATACCACTGATAAAGTTATGACAGAGATATGTTCTGTGAAGTGAACTGATAGCCAATTTTGTCATTGCGCAAATGTCACAGAGTGTAATTATATAAACCAAGATGGTATAGATGACTACATACATAGGCTATATGGTATAGTCTATTGGAACCACTGTTGTTGACTAAGACATCATTAAATATAGCTAAATTCACCACCTCTACTTATGGTTAAAAACTCTTAATGTAATGGGCATGGAAGGAACACACCTAGAGATAATAAAACATCCTATGCAATGGGGGAAAAAAATGAAGACTTTTCCTCTATGATGAGGAAAAAGACAAGGATGCCCACTCTTACTGCTATTATTTAACCCTTTGCACTCCGAACCATTTTACGATATTTTGATTTAATTTCTAGTGCCATTTCAAGATAAAACTTCAGGGAAACATGCATGTCTCAAAAAGTTGCGTTGAAATAACCTCAATTCCCTGTAATCACTAATAAATTGCAATGTCCCCTGAGAGGGGACATCCGAGTGATATGCTAGAATTCCAATGTCCCCTGAGAGGGGACAGCGGAGTGCAAAGGGTTAACATAGTATTAGAAGTCCTGGCTAGAGCAATTAGCAAGGAAAAAGAAAAAAGTCAGATTAGAAAGGAACAAATGTTACTGTCACTATATACAGATGCCATTTTATATATAGAAAGCCCTAAAGAATCCACCAAAGAAAAGCTCTTAGAAATATGTAAGTAAAGTTACAGGTTACACTCAGTATACAAAAATCTGATATTTCTATATGCAAACAATGAACTAGCAGAAAGAGAAATGGGAAAACAGTATCATGGAAAACAGTATCATGTATGATTGCAGCAAAAAGAATAAAATACCTAGGAATAAATTTAACCAAGGAAGTAAAGGACCTGTACACTGAAAACTCTGAAGACATTTATGAAAATAACTGAAGAAGACACAAATATGGAAAAATATCCAATGCTCTTGAATTAGAAGAACTGATTTGTTAGAATGTCCAGACTACCCAAGTCAATTGATAGATTCAATGCCTTTCCTATCAATCTGTGGCATTTTTCACAGAAATAGAACAAACAACCCTAAAATTTGTATGACCACAAAAGAATAGCCAAAACAATTCTGAGAAGAGAACAAAAATGCAGGTATCATGCTCCCTAGCTTCAAACTATACTACAAAGGTACAGTAATAAAAACAGTATGGCATTGGAATAAAAACGGGTACACAGATCAATGAAATAGAATTGAAAGCCCAGACATAAAACGATACCTATATGGGAAACCAATTTATGACAAAGGAGCCAAGAACATACAATGGAGAAAGGAATGATCTCTTTAACAAGTGGTGCTGGGAAAACAGGACAGTCATATATAAAAGAATGAAACTAGACCACTATCACACTCCATAGACTAAAATCAGTTCAAAATGGATTAAACAATGAATGTAAGACATGAAACCACTAAATACATAAGTAATAAATTCTTTGACATCAGTCTTAGTGATCTCTTTGTGGATTTATCTCCAATAGTAAGAGAAACAAAAAATACAAATAAATGGAATTACATCAAACTAAAAAGCTTCTGCACGGTGAAAAGGCAAAGAAGATATTTGCAAACCATATATCAGACAATCCAAAATATATGAGCGACTTGTACAACTAAACAACAAAAAAATCTATTATTCACTTAAAAAATAGGCAAAATAGGCATTTTACCAAGAGGACATACAGATGACTAACATACACATGAAAAAATGTTCTATATCACTCAACATTAGTGAAATGTAAATCAAAACCACAATGAGATTTTACCTCACAGCAGAGAGAAAAGTGTTAGTGAGTATGTGGAAAAAGGAATCTTCCCAGCACTGGTAGGAATGTAAACTGGTGCAGCCACTATAGAAAACAGTATGGAATGGGCCTCCCTGATGGCGCAAGGGGTTAAGCATCACACTATGGAGCAATCCGCAGCCTCTGCAGCACAAGTTCAATCCCCAGCCGGCCAGGGAGCTACCCACATGGTGCAGCAGACCTCTCCTATCTGGCCCAGTGCTCCCTTCAGCAGTGTATTTCAGTCAGTCTGCCTGTTCTGTTCCCCACTCTGTTTCTGGTGAATCCTCTCACCTCACCCTACTGCCTCCCCCTGCCCCCCCGCATCTCTGGCCTGTACCCCAGCTCTTATATGCATAAATAAATAAAACTTAAAAAAAAAAAGAAAACAGTATGGAAGCTCCTCAAAAAATTAAAAACAGAATTACCACATGATCTAATAATCCCACATCTGAGTATTTACCAGAAGAATATGAAAACACTAATTCAAAAGCAATATGCACCCTATGTTCACTGCAGCTCTATTCATAATAGTCAAGCTATGGAAACAACCCAAAGACCTAATGACAGATGAATGAATAAATAAGTGGTACAAGTACACAATGAAATACTACTCTGTCAGGGGCCTCCCTGGTAGCCGAGGGGTTAAGTCTCAGCCCTATCAGTGCTGTGGCCTGAGTTTAGTCCTTGTCCAAGGAGCTAACATACATATGGCGCAGCAGACCTCTCCTGAATTGCCAACTGCTCCCCTTAGCAGTATATTTTGGTTAATCCGCCTGCTCTGCTCTCCAAGTTGTCTCTGGTGAATCCTCCCAATCCCTGCACCTCTGATCTACACCCCAGTTCTTATATACAATAAATAAATATTTTTTAAAAATACTACTCAGTCATAAAAATGATCTGCCATTTTTAACACCATGGATGGCCCTTGAGGGAATTAAATGAATCAAAGTAAGTCCGAAGGAAAAAGACAAATACCACATGATTTCACTTATTTGTGGACTATAAAGAACAGAAAAGCAAATGAACAACAACAGAAGAATCCCACAAATCCTAAACTCTGACCATAGAATGGTAGTCACCAGAAAGGAAGGAGAGAGAAGGGAGGGAATAGGTAGATGGGTCCAATTGCTTGGCAATAGATAGTAACTGAATATTTGGTGGTGGATGTGATGGGGTATACTGCTGGAACCTATACAGTGCTGTGAAGTAATATAAAAATAGGGCCCGCCCTGGTGGTGCGGGAAGTTGAACACCGCACTATGAAGTGGTCCACAGCCTCTGCAGCCTGAGTTCGATCCCCGGCCGGCCAGGGAGCAACCCATATGGTGCAGCAGACCTGTCCTGACTTGCCCACAGCATCCCTCAGCAGTGCGCTTTGGTCAGTCTGCCTGTTCTGTTCCCGCTCTGTCTCTGGTGAATCCTCTCACCCCTAGCATCTCTGGCCTGTGCCCCAGCTCTTGTATGCATAAATAAATATTTAAAAAAATAATAAAATTTATACAATCCAAAAATAAATAAATAAATAAATAAAAATAATAATTAAATTAAAAAGGTGAATTCACAGAGAGAAGAATGGCCAGAGCTGGGAAGTGGGGAGGGGAGAAGTTGTCAGTCAAACTGTACAAACTTCCATTAAGAAGATGAGTAAATTCTGGGGATGTAATGTATAGTATGGTCACTAGAGTCAACATTGTAGTATATACTTGAAAACTGCTAAGAGAGTTCTTAAATGTTTATGCCATTTGCATGGTAATTATGTGAGGAAATAGATATTAATAGCCTTATTATGATAATCATTTCGAAACACTGGGGATCAAATCATCATGCTGTACACAACTTAAACTTTTATAATGTTTTATAATGTTCTATGTCAGTTACATTTCAGAGAATCTGGGAACAAATGATTATAGGCATATTTCATTTTACTGTGTTTTGCTTTAGTATAATTTACAGATACTACACTCTTAATAAATTGAAGGCTTGCAATGACCAAATCTGTTGGCACCATTTTCCCAACAGCACGTGCTCACTTTGCGTCTCTGTGACTCACTTAATTAAGGTGTATGTGTGTTGTATTTTAGACATGATATTACTGTGTACTTTATTAATAGAATACACTATGATGCAAAGATCTTTATAAATTGGAAAGTTAGATAACTTGTATGACTTGCTTAATTGTGGTAGTCTTGAGAAGAATCTACAGTATCTCCAAGGCATGTTCATATATAATTAAAAATAAAAAGTTACTTCATAAAAAAAAATTACCACTCTAAGAGTTCAAAAAGGAAAAAAATTCAAAAAATTAAAAGAAACCACACAATATTCTAAATTGTTCATGTTCATGAACTGCCTATAGTCTCATATGGAGGGATACACATTTCCAGGACCATAAAAAAGGAGTCAGGTATGTAGATAAGTAGTGAACAGGGAATCAGACAGCTGTTCACATCTGCAAGAGATACTCTGCTATCACTCAGGTTTCCCCAGCAAGATGACTTTGTGCCTAAATCTGGAGTTGCCTCAGGGACAAAATCTAGTCTCAGGTCATTTTAAAAAAGTATGTAATTTTATCATCTTGTGCTAGTTAATGACTTTCCAGGCATGCCTTGGTCCTTATTTTTTTCCTCTCCTAAACATATAATAGTTATAGAGATTATTATAGGTCATCTACTGTGCTAAATGCTTTATGTAATGCTGAGAACTCTATGAGGTAGGCAGTAACATTTCAATTTTACAAATGAGTTAACTTCATTACGGAGGTAAACTAAATTGCCTGAGGACAATTAGTAGACCTATTTAATCTTAACCAAAAGACCCATGGTGAAACTGGAGCTTCTAGATAGTGATATGTGATATGATTTAAAGGGCTTACTATCTCAAAATATTTTTTATAAGCCTAAAAACCTTATTAGCTTTACTAACTACAATATAGGATCTGAGGCAAATTTGGGACTGTGTTTTGAGTGTGGTTATATGAAAAGATGAAAGTGAACAATTTAAATAGAGGTAGAGAAACACTGAGGACAACCTGCAGAATTTTCAGTCTTTAGAAGCATTCTGAAATTTGGGGCAAGTAGTTTCATTTAGCCACAATGTTGAGAAGTCTTCTGATAGAAGATTATCAGGAGGTAAAATAAGTTCTTAAACTAGTTTCAAGTCTCTAAAATTTGGGCACACAGCAGACTAACAGTAAAATGTGTATATTGCAAAGAGATTCAAGTACAGAAAAAAGCTTTCATAAAAGCAACATCAGAATAAAAGAAACTGAAAAATTCTCATTTCATAATGTTGACACTAGAGATATCAGAACTCAGTGGTAATATTTAGAATGTGTAAAATAATCTTTTAAGCAAAAAAAAAATTAATTCAACTATATAAAACATCTATGTATGTATAACAATTGTGTAAAAGAAGTAACTACAGCCATTTAATCTCTGAGTTTCAATTTATTCACAAATACAATGGAAGAATTAAGAGGTACTCTGTTTTATAAGACCACTGTGAGAAAAATCATGTAAAAATGAATAAAAAGGGGCCTCCCTGCTGGTGCAGGGGGTTAGGTCTCGGTACTGTGGTGCTGTCTGCAGCCACTGCAGTGTGGGTTCCATCTCTGGCCAGGGAGCTAACTCACATGGCTCAGTGAACAACTCTCCTGTCTCTCCTACTGCTCCCCTCAGCAATGCATTTCAGTGGATCTGCCCGTTCTGCTCCCCACTCTGTCTCTGGTGAATCCTCTCCCCACCACCACCTCTGGCTTACACCCCAGTTTTTCTATGCATAAATATATAAAAAATAAATCTTAAAAAAATAAAAATAAAAAAGGTCTTCTGGAAAAAAGCTGTCTGACATGTCATTAGCTTATTGTGATATACTAAACTATTATATTAAAATGAGAACCCATTTGTATACTTTGAGAATAGGGAAACAGAGCCTTCTGATGTCAAACAATGACCTCTGAACTCAAGACCGGTATTTACTAAGATACATCTGCAAGTTAATTTATATAGCTAGGTCTCCTGCTGTATGTTTGCCACTTTTAGTAAGCCTCAGTAAACAATATTTACCTTTACCTCCAGCAAAAAATAAAAAATTAAATTATAATTATAATAAATATATATAATAAATATAAAGATAGCAAATTTTGCTGCATGTCATTCATCCATGTGATCTTACCTTTAATACACCTCTATCTTTTTTAGCGGTAATATCCTCTCCCTGTTCAGCAACAGCTGCTGCTGGGCTTTCTCCATTGTTCTTGGTACCTTCATCAGTAGTCATTTTCTTTTATAGAAACCTGTGAGAAGAAACATATCTTAGCTAAGAAAATTGTCACTTTGTAACACATCCTTAAAAGACTAGGAACTGAGCTTTGCCCAGCCAAAGATTTACTTAGGACCAATAAGATTAGATACTGTCAACAAAACATTTACTATGAGCATATATTGATGTCATGAGGTATGTAAACAAAACATCATCCAACTTTTCAATTTCTTATCCAGCTCTGGTCTCAAATTAAAGATCAATACAAGTCAGTTTTAGTAGTAATTATATTCCTTAATATGACTACCCAGTATGAAATAGTCTTCTCAGAACTTTGAAAAATGTTCTTTTCTATAGAAGCCACATTCATGACAGAGAATTAAGAAGTTAAGAGGTGATGTGATAGGAGAAATGACAAGAATTCAGAGTAGTAAATAGAATATGAAATATTCTAGAAATGGAATGGAAAGAATAGAAATGGAAGCTGATAGACCACAGTCTGAATCCCAGCTCCAGCAGCAACTGTCTGACATTTGCAAACTTAATCTCACTGGCCTCAGTTTCACATCTACAAAATGGACATAGTACATTCTTCATAGGGTGACTGTGAGGTCTCATACTATTAATGAGATAATATATGCTAGGAGACTAACACAGAAATAACTTAAAAATGTAAGCATTTCATCATTATTGGGACTTCTACAGAGTCACATTTTTCTTTTTCTTTTTTTTAAAGGTTTATTTATGCCTACAAGAACTGGGGTACAGGCCAGAGATGTGGGGGGTGAGAGGATTCAGCAGAGACAGAGTGGGGAGCAGAACAGGCAGACTGACTGAAATACACTGCTAAGGGGAGCAGAGGGTGAGTCAGGAGAGGTCTACTGTGCCATGTGGGTTGCTCCCTGGCTGGGGATAGAACTCATGCCGAAGAGGCTGCGGATAGCTTCACAGTGCTGTGCTTAACCCCTTGAATCACAAGGGAGGTGCATATAGGGCCACATTTTTCATTTCCTGCTCAAAATATCTAGGGAAACAGGCTTTTCCCTGGCATGGCATACAAGGCACTTCAATCCCTGATTTTAACCTATTTTCCACTACTTTCTTTCATGCAGCACTAGCGAAACCAGACTAATTCCTCTCCCACAACAAGCCCTATGCTTTCCTATCTCTACATCCTTGGCCATTTTTTTTTCTTCTTCCTAAAACATTGATTGTTTGACCTTGTCTGTAGTTCCTTAGTTTTTTCCTTGATTTGTTATCTGAAATATAGATAAGACACACCTGATTTATTATTTAACTTTTTTTTAAATTGAGATAACACTGGTTTACAACACTGTATATGATTTAGGGGAATAGGTGCACAAGTCTTCAGATGTATGTTACCACACCACCTAAACACTCATAATCTTCCTCTATAGTGCACTGAGCTCCCCATCTCTTTGTTCCCAAACCCACCTCCTTTCCTTAGCATCAAGTCTGCAATCAGGATTTGGTTTATTTTGATTTAGTTTTGGCCTTGTTCCTTTGTTTCTCCATATTCCACATAAGTGAAATCACCTGATATTTGTCTTTCTCCTTCAACTTTGCTTAGCATAATCTCCTCCAGCTAAAGTCACATTATCAAGAATTTGCAAGATTCATCTTTTTTTAATAAATAGCTGAGTAGTATTCCATTGCATACATATATACCACATCTTAATCCACTCATCTGTCACTGGGCCATAGGCTGTTTCCATAACTTGACTATTGTAAATAGTGCTGCAATGAACAAAGGGGGGCATATATCTGTTCAAATAAGAGCTTCTGCATGATTCAGGGAGATACCAGGAGTAGAACTGCTGGATCATATGATAGATCTTTTTTTAATAGTGAGAAACCATACTATTTTCCTTAAGGACCAGACCAGTCTACATTCCTATCAGTAGTAAGGAGGGTTCCTTTTTCTCCACACCTTGCCAACACCTGTTCTTTCTGAACTTTTTTATGTGGGCCATTCTCATGGGTGTGAGATGGTATCTCATTGTGGCTGTGATTTGCATTTCCCTTAACTTAAATGATGATGAGCAGTTTCGATGTGCTTATTAGCCATCTGCACGTCTTCCTTAGGGTATTTGTTTTCTTTTTGTTCAGTTGCATGAATTCTTTGTAACTCTCCTATATTAGCCCTTTGTCAGATATATGATGTGCAAATCTCCCATTCAGCAGGGTATTTGCTTTTCTTCATTTTTATGAGTTTCATTCACTGTGCAGAAGCTTTTGTGTTTAATGTTGTCCCATCTGTTTATTTTTGCTTTCATTTCCCTTAACTGAGAGCAAGGGCTGTGCTTTGGTTCATATTTAGATTCCCTAGAATGTTGCTAACTTTTAGAATTGTTAAAACAAGAAATTTGGAACTCCTTATAGGCTGTTTGATGTTGACTACTTGAACTTGTCTAAGCCTTTTTTTTTCCCTACCTGTGTAATTATAATAAAAATTTCCTGGATAAAATGGCATATGCCTATTTTGAAAGCGTATTACTCAAATATTAGTTCTTATTGCTATTTTAGTCTCCTAGCCAATAGTGTTTTATGCAAGGCAAACCGATGTTACCAATAGGCTAATCAACAGATGAAACAAAACATACTTTGCTGTCTGCTGCCAGGACTAATTTCATACTGCTCTCCTGGTTGAGCAGGTAAAATCAAGAATAATCACTTCCACAGCTATTCAACATTAACCTAATAATGACATATGTCTTCCTAAAGTAAACTGCCAAACTCTCTTGTCAACATAGTAAAAGTTATTTTACACTTGTGAAAAATATTGACACAACAGATAATTTGGTAATTAAAATATATATTGCAATGTTTTAACTCATTCCTAACAGACATAAATTTATTTTAATGTCACCAAAAACACAAATCAAAATTTACTAAGCCCAAAAACCTTCAAAGAGGACACCAAGCCCCCAGGGTTAAGTCCCTTTGCTCTATTTTCTAGTACAGTTTATACCAAACACAAAATACCAAATGCTTGGCTCCGGATAAGGGAAAAGGCCAGAACAAATCATTCTCAAACAAACAAAAACAAAAATTAAGTACCAAGCTGAGCTAGATAATTAGGAAAATTAAATGAACAGGGCTGATTCTCAGGTTCTAGTAAACTATGTTAAAACAGATTTTTCTGTAGAATGCCCCTCAACAATGAGGGAAAGATTTTTTTAAAAAAGATTTTTATTTATTTATGCATACAAGAATTGGGGTACAGGCCAGAGGTGCAGGGTGTGAGAAGATTCACCAGAGACAGAGTGGGGAGCAGAACAGGCAGATCTACTGAAATACACAGCTGAGAGAAGCAGCGGGCGAGACAGGAGAGGTCTGCTGCGCTGCTTGGGTCACAACTCTCTGGCCTGGGATCGAATTTGGACAGCTTTATAGTACTGAGACTTAACCCCTTGTGCCAATAGGGAGGCCCAATGAGGGAAAGATTTTTAAAAAATATTTAGGGGGTCATGGACTGTATTCCTGGAAACACACCCACAAACACACCCACAAACTTCTTGGGTTTCACAGATAACACTGATCAATAGATGCTTGCTTTTAACTCTGGTTTTAAAGCAAGGAGCAAATTAAAACTGCCAGGTAAAAGGTTATTAGGGAACACGACAGCCACATAGTCTCACAGTGTGAACTATTATTCACTATTAGAAAAGGAAAAGAGACTTCCCAGGGATGACAGATACCCCTTAACACCAGTGATTTGTGTCATCACCGAACTCCAATACCAACACCACCACAGACTGACAGTACTGTGCCTCCTGTGGTAACGGGAAGTACATATACCTGTGTGGTATTCCTACCGAAAATGTTTAATCTGAAACCCATCAAAAGCAAGACAAAATTAGGTCGTAGAACATACCACAAGACAACTAACCTAGACTCCTCAAAAATGTTAGCTATAAAAGACAAAAAAAAAAAAGACAGGGGGCCTTTTCTAGATTAGAGGCTAAAGAGACACAACAACCAAATGCAAAGTGTAATCCTTACCTGTATCCTGGATTAGAGGAACCAAAACTTATAAAAGGACATTTTGAGGAAGAAATCAGAAAATCTGGAAAAACAGGCTATACACTAGATTATCATTACTGTATAAAAACTTTCTGGAGTGTGATATAGTATTGTGGTTGTATGTAGAACAATATCATCATTCTTAAGAGACACGTGCTCAGGGGTGAAGTGACCTGATGTCTTCTTCTTTCAAGTCATTTGAGAGTGGGCATTCACATGTGCCCATGTATTCCAAAAAAGTAAAAAAAATTGAGAGTGCATAACTATAACACATTCAAAGGCAATGCCTTTCTTCTAAATGCTCATCAATTGGAGTTCAGCTAATTTTTTAAATGAAAATATTGTTAATAAAAAAATTCTCTTATGGTTCTAACACTCTTTGAAAAACAATAGCTTGGGCCTCCCTGGTGGCGCAGCGGTTGAGTGCTGGGCTGCGAAGCTGCCCACAGCCTTGGCAGTTTCCGGCTGGATCCCCAGCTGCCGGCGAGGGTCCCACATGGCATGCGCCCGCTGCTCCCTTCAGCAGTGTACTTCCTCAGTCTGCCTGGTCTGTTCCCCGCTCTGGTTCTAATGAATCCTCTCACCCTCCCGTGCTTCTGACTGTAGCCAGTGCTTGTATAGCGCAGGAGGGTGAGAGAATTCACCAGAGACAGAGCGGGGAACAGAACAGGCAGACCAACAAAATACACTGCTGAGGGGAGCAGCGGGCACGCCAGGAGAGGTCTGTGCACCACGTGGGCCCCTCGCCGGCAGCCAGGGATCGAACTGGTGCTGCAGAAGCTGCGGGCAGCTTTGCAGCCCAGCGCTCAACCGCTGCGCCACCAGGGGAGGCCTAATAAATAAATCTTTAAAAAAAAAAAAAAAAGAAAAGAAAAACAATAGCTTGCTAAAATCCATGTAATCAGGGTACTAGTTAAAGTGGTGGAGTTGCTAGCTTTATAAATGCCATTTGATAATGGAATATGCTCCTCCTTTTTAGTTATAACG